TTGTTCCATTGTTTAGCATATACTGTCATATTTCTTAAGTTAACTAACAATTTGATCAATTCAATTCATTGGTGCTGCTTATCAATTTAATGAAAGGAAAATTTTTTAGACAACTCAATAAAATGTAATTGTTTTTTTTAGTTAACATAGATTAAGTAAGTAACAGTTGCCGAATTTTTCTAACTTAACATATTAAAAAATCCATTTTTTTTCAAGATAACATCTCTCGATAAAAACTTATCATTGTTATTGTTTCCGAAGCAACGAATTCAGTTTGATGTCATGTTGTGATCTGTGTTATTATTGGTAAAATTTGAAATTCATTTCCTTTCGTGAAATAGTGCCGTGGTCTTGAGGAAATGTATTTAGATATATTCATTGTGTTGACAAACAGCATTGCGAACTGTTAATCCGATTTTTTTCTAGAGAATAATAGGTTTTTTATCGAAAAATTTTTGAAAATCTATAAAGATAAATAACTGATATATCTGCTTTCTTTACAGGCAAATACGGAATTACAAACCAAACTGGAAGTTTCGCCTGATAAACCATGCGTTAATTTGACAATTTCAACTAATGACAGTAAGTTTTCCCAAGTGATGCTTACATCACTCATTTTAAATATTTTCCTCTTCAACAAAATGCATCAGCGGGATAAACAGTTGCTTTCCAAACGTTCGAGGCTCTTCATTAATTAGTACATTAAAACAACCACATACAGTATGGAATGAAACATAAAACCTGAAAATATAACTGGGTTCACCATGTATTTAGATCACTGTGTGATAAAAGAGCTTAAGTGTTGTTCCATAACATTAATGTTGACTGTCTTATTCCTAACATGGTTGAGCTTCCACTTCAGCTATAACGCAGCTTGTTTGTCGAAGCCATTGTTTGTAGTTTCATTCAAGTATATGAAATGATAAAAGGTGAACTAACCATGGTATAAAGAATACAAATTTCAGTTTAAAAAAAACAACACATGTTTCTGAAAACCAGTTCTCCAAGCCTCATTTGAATTTTTGATTTAAATGCATTGAATTACGCCAGGTACAAATGAAAGTTATTTTATTGATAAAAATCTAGTATATCTTTGAATACATGTAGTTTTATGTAATCATTTGAAATATTTGAATAAATAGATATAACATTTTTTAAAATTAAGATTTAAAGAATGCTAAGTAGTTGTTCTCTATTGTTTATCTCAATTACACATGTCACATTGATATTATGATAATTAGGCGTTGTCATAAATGTTAATCTAACAAACGGTGTATTTGACCATATTTTCCATAGGGTGTTATTGAAAATGTGATAGTGGTGATTTCTTATTATCAAAATCGTTTTCTTTATAGAGTTATGAATAACTATTCAGGGGTATAAAATAAAGTGAAAATGCATACTACTCTTATCAATATTTCTTATTGAGGTCGCGGAAAACATTCTCTAATGGGTGAAAATTTGTTTGATTTATTTTAGATACATATCTGAGATGTATAGTGTTGTTCGCTGAAGGTATTTTTAAAGAAGAAAGTCATGTTGTGTAAGTCAGTAATTAGTATTTACGATGAAATAGTCTTGTTGTTGAATGAGACTTGAAAAACTTTAGTTTTTACTTTTACTTTTACTTAAAAGCACTTACCAGTTAGTATACTTTACTTTGTAAATATTAAACTATGAGTCCAGTAGTCCAGAGATGAAACTGTCGACTTTTTAACGTACTAATTTTACATGTGAATAAATGCCCTGGTACTTCTGAGAGTGGAATCAATCCGGATCCCCCCTGGAAATACCATCATACTGTTACGCGTGTATGATTAAGCAAGTTGTACACACTGATTTCTCTCGGCAAGGATGTTCTTTGCCGAATTGAAAGTACGAACTGTGAATGTTCGCTGCTTAGACCGGATATAAAGAATCCACTGAGGTGAGTTATAAAACCCTGATTCCAAGTCAATAGATCACATAAGCACCAAGGTCTTAAAAGAAAGAATGGCGTTTGAAACTATTGTTAGTCACCGCATCTATAAGAATTATTCCACTGCCTCATGGTTTGTACCTCTGGATCAAAGGTTCGGGTGGCGCTCATCTAAGAAGACAATCTATTTCGGTGTAAACATTCGAACAGACTCCAAACACACATGCATCCATTGATTTGTGTGAGATATCAACATTTAGGTAACCGGAATGCAGACTGAAAAGTTGACTGAAAACAAGGTCCCTAACATTCAGTCACTCAGTCAGTCAGTTATAACGTAGAACTTCGAACATGCGTATATCAGTTCAAGTTGGGACGAATTCGGGGGTCGCAATGTTTTTCCTTGTGCATTAGTATTCTCTGAGAATAGTTGGTTATCTCGGCATAGTTGCGACCGACTGTTGCCATTACTTGTCCTGTGAATCGCAACACCATAAGGCCGACGCAGTTGTCTTTCACTTTTGCTCCGTCTACATACTTGAGCATTGAAGTCACCAGCAACTAGTACTACAACAGAGAGCCTAACTTTTTGAAGGTAGAAAGTTTTCAGAAAAGTTCTTCTTTTACTTCACTTAAGCTGCAGTCAGTGGCAGTGTAGGCAGAGATTATGAGGAGATGACGGTTTTTTACTTAAACAAGTTGAGGTCAAATTATTGTTCAGACTCGCATGCTTCATGTGCATTTCGGAGAAGCAGCACATATAGATGTCACGGGATTTGAGAGACCAAAGTAATGCAGCCCGTTGTCCTATTTGACACAAGTTTCGAGCACTGAAAGCTCCAATATGTAGTTTAGAGCGGGTTTCAGGAGACTGTGAATAACGTTTTGTGGGCTCGAATCTTTCGCATTAACAGCAGGAGGTCATAAAGAAACATGAGGAGGGTTGGTCGTGAAGATAAGAGAGGAAGTATTTGATTATGACCGATTTGACCTCGTGTGCTTCTACAGGTATGAGAGTGGTTTTCACCTCCCAGCTGCCAATACCGTGGAAGGGTACTTCTTGAGGGACCTGGAAAAGAAACTGGATTAGTGTTTCTCTAAGCGATATGTGAGCATGATCGCAGAACCCAAGAGGCAACTGTTTAAGGCCGGTCACGTACAGCCCTTTTATGGGACCCCTATAAAGTGTTTTCTGCGCTCTTCAAATGGCCTTACTGACGGAGATGGAAATCAATGAGGTAAGGTGGGTTGTGACGTTCTTAGGGTCAACATTTTCTAATTCCTACCTCCCTTGTCCGAAGGAAACACCTTTCTGCTGTCACATCCCTTTATAGTCAACAGTAGGACTTCTCTCACAGACCCTGAGTTGCTGCTTTTAGTTTTATCGCTCTGTAGTTGACCTGCTTGGCATGATAGAACCTGCAGGGATATATGTTCCAGTCATTATAGCTAGGTTGAGTCATCACGATAGACAAACATGACCATCACCTCAAGATAGCAAGAATGGTAGAGTAGCAGCATATCAACATATGGAATGGTGGTCTTCTATACTAACATAATTTTCTATAATAAACAACGATAACTAAACTGTCAGTAGTAACGTAGGAAACCGATTCGAAATATTTTTAGTTTTCTAGTTCAGAATTTCCCTGCTCTCGAGAAGCAAACTTAATGAGAAGTAGATTTTACTGGTAGAATTTCAAAGTTGTTGTTATTCTAAAATTGTTTGATATATAAGTAGTTCATGAATTTAGAATAACTCATTTAATTTTATTTCATTGAGTTCTACTTAGTCACTTAGTCACAGTCAAAGCAGATCTAGCTGAATATACATAGATTCATTTTGATGTCCAGTAAATAAACCAAGCGAGAAAAGAAATAAATTATGAATAAAGGCATTGTATATTCCACTGTTAGCCACATCATTCTATATTGTATAAGCTAGTGTCGTAATAAGTGTAACTAGGGGGTTAGCCTAGTCTTCCTATTTGTCGTGCATGGTATCTTGCAATGTTACAATCTTTAAGTAGAAATGTTGAAGTTTTTGCTGAAAAATCAAAGTTTCGAGTGAATGAAGTGTCTAGGTCTACTGAAGAATTTTAGCGAATTGAATTTGGATAGATGACAAAGTTTTATTGTATACATTTAACGTTAAGCGCAATGTATATACTTAAAATGATATTTACTTTTGTTCTAACGTAATAATATTTAAAAAATATATAAATACGTATTTTGAATGAGTTAAAATTCATAAACTATCCATTTAAAACTTTAGACATCCTCCAGAGAATGTTCCTTATACTTCCAAGTTTTCTATTGAATTGTATCCAACAAGAGATATAACAACTGACGTATTCATCAAGGCTTATGCAATACCAATGAACAGATGGTAAGCGAATAATTCATGTGGAATTGATGTACGTACTTATAGGCTTTTGTTTTAAGATGGTTGCAAGATTGTTGTGTTTGAACCTCACACAGAAATTCCGTTGAATCGAGACGAAATTTGCTTTTATTTTCTTACAAGTTCTTTGGCATTAAGGGGAAAAAATTGTCAGCAAGTCAAACCGTGTTCATCACCCGCCGATCGTGAAATGGATTTGCAAGTATAGCAGAATAACCGAAAATGGCGGTCATATTGATGACAGCTGGTCAAATGATTTCAAATCCTAAAGTAAAATCACTGAGTGAAATGTTTGTTGAAGTTATGTTGAGTGATTACATTTGCGATTTCGACGATATAATACACATTAAATTTACAACTTACAAATAGTTATCTAATTAAATAGGGAAATGATAGATTTTTTTAGCCTGTATTTTAAAAAGTCGAAAGATACTAATGCGTTTATCAGATCAAAAACATTTTATCTAGTATAAAGTAAAACAATACACAATCACAAGTAAACAGTATAGGTTTATGGTTAAGTCAGAAATGAGGTAATGCTAGTGTTGATAGTAAATTATGCTCTAAACTAAACTGAAAATCATCGCTCAAAAAGAAAGAGATTATATATGATATGTTATTTCTGCAGAATTGCAAAAATGTTAATATTGTATTGAGCGGGACGAAAATTTTGACACTGATTTTCTAGAATGTAACAGTGTTTTTTGAGGCTAATATTTCATGCATTTTTCAATTGATTACAATTTAGATTGGTTCTTTGTACATATTTTTCACAATTGTCACTATTCTTGGTAAAATGAGAGGACTTTTATTGTAGCGTCATATACCTGTCTGTCTGGGAGTCACAATGCATTCGGCTTAACTATTAGATCCAAACTTTAGCTGCCGGAAATCGCGTCAATAAGAAAAGTGTATGGAGCACATTTCTGAAGAATGGATGCTTACTTGAATGGATCAACTATTTAAGCCAACATCGTTGAAGGCTCTACAGGACAGAGAGAAATTATATGAACCAATATTGTTCATCATAAAAACTACGTACAAATTAAAAGCGTCTCACTAAACCGTCTTACTGAATCTTTGTACCATGGTCATCATTGTTGATTTTATAATGGACCATTTAATTTAATACAACTTTCTGAAATGAGAAATCAGCCATTTTTGTAGTAGGAACTGATGAAACCGACAATTTAATACACTCTTAAGTTACATAGTAAATATTTTTCAGTGATAAACTATCAGAATTCCGATTTCTACCGTCTTTTTATTAGCAGTGTACTTGAACGGAAATTCTTGAGGTCAGATGAATGTCACGCATATGATCTTTATTTATCGTAAATTATCCACTATATATTATGAGTAATACTGGTGATCACGAGCAGCCGGCTGTTGTTACACTTAAAAATCATTTAATTTCTCATCTCATATTTATATCTTAATAGTTCAGACCAGAACTCTTACTACTTATTGGCTGGCACACAACTGTTACCACAGTTTTCCCTCTATCGACTACTCAGTCAAAATCCTAAACTAGACTACCATGCTGAATTGGAAGGTTTACGATCAGGAGTCTTCTTCGTAGTGCATGAACGACCTCAGAGGGTAAGTTTACAAAAAAGCCAGTCTTTTCCTTGTTGGTTTAACCAGTCAAGTTCTTTGAATGCATTTCTTATCACTAAAACGTAGAGATTTTCAAATTACACAATTGAATATTTATTAAATATTATAAACAGATGAGTTCAAAGTAAAAT